GCTAACATGACCCACAGTATCTAGGCAGTCCCAGATCCCAGACTATATTTCACATTTTGTCCAAACATCCACCCTGCCCTGCCAAAACATATATACACTACATACACCGAACCCCTTTTCCAATCCATTACTAGAGCAACCATAGTCAAATCAATATGGTCATGCCTATGGAAAGAGTATGCAATTGTCTTCCCTAGTCCTGGTTTACCATCTCCATGACTTGTGCCTTGACCACTACCTCCCTATGTGTGCTTTCTCCTCCTTGAAAAATACATTCCTTGAAGGCAGAGACTGAATCTCTTATGTATTTATATCCCCATAATGCTTGGCAAATAGTAAGCACTTAGTACTTATCTTCCATCCTTCATTCAACACTCCCTTACTTCCTCCCTTTCTTCCCTCCTTCCTTTCTTCCTTTCTCCCACTCTTCTTTCTTCCTTCTATCCTTCCTTTCTTCCTTTTTCTTTCTACAGTGCAGGAAGAGCCCACATTTGTGCGCTTTCCGATTTATCTAAGTTTAAGCATGAGGAAAAGTCAGATAACTGAATCAATGAAAAGTTAAAATGCTATTGAGTATGTTTTCTGTATTTCTTTTTAATAACTGAGAATTCATTTTGTTTTCATTTTTTTTAAACTGAGAGTTTAAAACAAGGTATGTTGTTGAGAGCATTAAGAGGCCCAGAGTATGTTATTTGGTGGACACACACATATACACACACACACAACACACACTTGGAGATTTACCAAGGAGAGGAGAAAAACTGACAGAGATATACCTGCCAATAACAAAGGGTCCCAGGTCATCCCAAGACTTGATGAAGGTGAAATAAAGCTTGTCAATGATTGGTAGTGCCTCATCATTTTCTGGGCCATTGGGCTAGATGCCTGGATTTTTCATGTGAAAGATAAAACCTCTCTGTGGTTGAATTAGTACCTACTTTCTAAGCTGACATATGTCAAGGACCAGTGAGTTGCATCTATAACATAGCTGCTCTCATGTAACACATTTGTACTTTTTCCATGCATGTTCTACCTTTAGGAGTATTACAGCCAGGCCATTTGTTTCCTGTCCCTAAGCATATAGTGATAAAAACAGAAACATGCATAGCCAAACTCCCAAAGAAAGTAAAGAGGCACAACTGTGTGAGAAAGTAATGGTTCATTGCAGATTTGTGAAAGACAGTGCAAATTAATCAACTGACTGTCTCATATTTCATATTTTACAGCACCGCCTGTCTTGAACCCAAGCATGTCTGTTCACAATGTCTTATCCTTACCATGTTGTCTACATTAGTTTAAAAAAAATGAATCCATTTGTCTAGCCAAACTAAAATGCTCTGTCTGCAAATTAGATGCTTTTAGCAAACCATGTGTGCACAGTTAAGCTGTGTTTGCAGATTTTTTTTACTTAAAATGTCATCAATTCACCAATGTACTTGCATTAATTCTTCCTGACAGACACAGACACATGCCACCCCACTGCAGTGAAACATGACAGTGATTGCAATTATATGACCATAGTACTTTTTTTTCTTCAATTTTCAGCAAAGGGAAATTCTAATGTATAAGCATGACTCTTCTTAGAGCCATGTAACATTTCAATATTCTGTTCTCCTTTCATATGCTGATCTCCATCTCCTTCTGGATCACATCCCCTGTTTTCATATATATGAAAGCTTATTTCTCTAAGGAAATTCCTATATAAAAAATTGACTCAGATTTAGAAGTCTGCCCCAGACTATTTTAAAAGAGCTGCAATACCATGATAACATCCTTCTTTCTGGACTAACTTTTCCAGTACCAATGAAGCAGTTTGTCATTCGGTCAGCCTTTAGCATTCCATATGTATTATCAAAAGTTCCGACTTAAAATCACAACACCATCATGGAAGGAATAGATTTCTAGGACATTATTACCTTCTGCAGGGTTTCAGTCATTCAGCTTGTAGCCTGATGTCTTACAATATTTTCTCCCAGGATACTATAATTACCTCAAAACCCACTGCTTAGAATGTCTTATTTCTTAATTACAGCAGTAATTAAGTAATAATTAATTATATTAATTAATTATTTTATTATATTAATATTACTATTTTATTGTATTGTATTAATTAATTAATAATAGTAATTAAGTAGTAATTACAGGAGTGACATGAGTTAAATGCATACTTGCTGAGATCAGCTGCATATTATTTTGGGGTAACTTCATAGGAGTTCTCATGATGACAATGACAGTTAAGTTACCAACTATTGCTACCATATTATATTCTGGAAAGTATGAAATTAACCTCTGTGAATACAGTACTTCTTATTAGATCATAATAAGCTAACAGAGCAGTTATAGGTTGGCTAACAATTTGAAAGATAGCATCACACAGATCCTGTATAGATCCAAGTGATTTTTCTGTAGATTTGAATTAACAACATTTAAATCAATGAACATTTCAGGAAGGGAATTTAACTTTCTGTATAAAAACGTTGTTTAAAAATATTCTTTGCAAAAGCCAATTACCTTTTAACCTTTAGAATAAGAATCTATGATTACACCTGAGGGAGAAAATGGACTGGAAATAAGATAGGAGTGATAATACCATCCAGGAGAAATTTTCAGTCTATCAGCAATAGTCTCTTTGGGATATCACAATTTTACATGGGCTCAAAATTTTTTATTTAAGCTTCCAGAAAGAATTTATCTTCTGCCATGTCAGTTTTTTAAATGGAAAAATATATATTGCCAAGATAACACTTTAAAGCAGGTTTTCCACTCCCCTCCCCCAATTGCTATTATTTGTCTTTTGTTTTTAGAGGAGGATGTTGGGGCAGAGGGTACAGAAGAAACACACCTGATTCAAATATTAGAAAGCAAAAAATAAATAAATAAATTAGCAATACTTTAGGGTAGTGATCTCACCAATGCAGGATGCCATGTAAAGATATTAAAGAGTGCATAGATTGTTTCATACTCATGTGGATTGGTAGGTTGTTCCCATTACTTTTGTTTAATGTATTCTATTTTTAATTTATGGAATAAAATAAGCATTTCCATAGCATAGTATAATACAAAATGATTTCACATGAAGCTGCAAATCTATTAGGTACAACTTGCTGTTGTTTTTAAATATATAAAAAAGTTATTATGTGATTTATTTTCTTTTTTTTCCTTTCTTCCCCCACCCCATCCCTGCCCTAGAGAAGGCTATCATTAGACAAAAATTTGCATATATATGTAAAATCATTCTATACATACTTCTATTTATCAATTCATTCTCTGGATTCAGATAGTGTCTTCCTTCATTACTTTTAATGATTCTCTTCTCACTGCATCAGCCTAAGCTTCTCAGAGTAAAACTTACTGAAAGAATAGCCTTTCCATAAAGTTCCTGGCACACAATAGGTGCATAATTAATGCTGTTTGACTTAACTTGTTGACTTTCACTATATGCATAAACCAAAATAAATCAGCAATTTGCATAATTGTTTTGGGAAAATGAGTTCAGCTTTAGTATATTTCTTGTGTTTGAATTCTGTCATTAATAATTAAGGCAAAGCTATAGTTTTGTTTCTTTTATAATCCATCAAAAGTGGATCTATATCATATGAAGTATATTTGTGGCCATAGACCCTATTAAAAGTTTAATAATTAAAGCTTCATGGCAAAATCATAGGACAAGAACTTAAAATCATGTTAGTATGGTCTTATAACTTGATAAACTTTTTCAAAAAACATGAAATCCTTATTGTAGAGTCAATAATCTTCTGTACGTACATTAATTTCCTTCTCTATGAATTTATGAAAAGTACTATATTTTTCTATAACCTCTGCTTATTTTTCTCATATCAGTCTTTTTCCCCTCAGTGGGCCAAAAGGTCTATTAACACCAACATTTAGGGTGCTATAAATTGCTAGATAGTTCAGTGGATAGAGTACCAGGCCTAGATTGAGGAAGACTCATCTTCCTGAGTTCAAATCTGGCCTCAGACACTTACTAGCTGTGTGACCCTTGGCAAGTCACTTAACCCTGTTTGCCTCAGTTTTCTAATCTGCAAAAGAAGCTGGAGAAGGAAATGGCAAACCACTCCAGGATCTTTGCAGAGAAAATCCCAAATGAAGTTATGAAGAGTCAGATACAACTGAAACAGCATACATATATAAACAAAAAATATATATACATATATATAAAATATACACAACCACCCACATATATATACATATACACATATATACATATATGCACATACACGTACACACACACGTACATATACATTCATATATATATCTATATGTCAAGTGAAATAATCAAGGTTGATGTGTAGAAATGATTTAAGCTTAAAGACCAAACATGGAAAATAATTGAAAAGTTGCCCATATGTCATATTAATATCTTCATTACAAGTAATAATTATAATTTAGATCAGTGTTTTTTATTTCGCTTTTATTCTCTATAAATTTCTAATTTCAAATGTAAAGCTTTATTTTGTTTATGTAAATATCTTAGCAATTAAAATATATTATTACATTTTCATACTTTGTTTACAAATTTAAACAACCCACTGATGCAATGAGATAATCGTGCTGTGCATGAAATTATAGCAGGTTGTTTTTGGGGGGGAGGGTGAGTATATATTGAGGAGCTTCCATTCATTGAATTCCATCGTTAGTCTCTGTTTAGTTTCCTGAGTAAGGAGAAGAGTAACTAGAACGATACTCCAAATTTAGTATTGAGATGTGAGTGATAGAAAGAGGAAACTAAATATATCAGAGACTATATTATTGTTTGTCTGACATGTAAGCAATTTGAAGCAAACACTAAATTTAATTATGAAGATTGTAAGATGAGAAACATTATGTAGCAAATACACAGGAGACTTACACAGAAGGCCGCATTCTACTATCCCAAAGGCTAGTCCACTTTTAGACTAGTCTTCTGGATATATAACATCAGAATTCTCTAGCTAAAAGGGACCTCTGAGACCATCTTGTCCAATTTCTTCCTTTTACAGATGAAGAAAATAAGGCCAAGGAGCTTAAAACATGTGCCCAAGATCACCTACTCAGTTAAGTATCAGAGGTAGAATTTCCAACCAGGTTCTCTGATTAGAGCCAGTTTTTTTTCCATTGTGCCCTGTTGGGAAGAATCTAGAATAGTTGTCCCAGTTCAAAGAACAGGTAAAACTGGATCTTCCCTTATTTTTGAGGATTCCTTGCTGATTGAACCTCTTCAGAAGCCAGCCAAACCAATGTGAAGCCAATAGGAAAACTACCCTGATTTACAATATGTTTACTGTCACAAATAATAGGTCAAGCTGGTAAAAGAATCCAGATTTTCTGATTCCTGGTCCTACCACTAGTTCATCTGCCTCTTTCCTAAGGAACTCCAATATATAATCTCTCAAGAGAATTTCCTGCCACCTCTGGGGATTTTAACATCTGTTTTTCAATCTTTTAAATTTTCTTTCAGATCAGCATTTTCATGACCCATTTGTCCAACTACGGGAATGACCGCCTGGGGTTATATACCTTTGTGAACTTGGCCAACTTTGTGCAGAGCTGGACAAACCTGAGACTGCAGACTCTTCCTCCAGTGCAGCTGGCTCACAAGTACTTTGAGCTCTTCCCGGAGCAGAAAGACCCTCTCTGGCAGGTAACAACTAATGTTCCATTGGGAGAAGGGACACTGAAATTTGTGAAAACCACAGAAAACACCAGATTCTCCCCTTACCTAACAAAGTCAGTGTGGCTTTCATCGGTTGTAAGTAATACAAAGCAGTGAAACAGTTTGGAATTCCTGTGGGCATGCAGTATTCTGGGACAGTGACAGGAAAGAGTCACCATGCTATACAAACCTTTTAACAGTCCATTAAATTAAGGAGAAATGAGGGTGCTTTCCAAAAAACTAACCAATGAAAACTTCATCCTGTGGCACTTTGCCTTTAGTGTCTTTAGTATATGTTTCATTTTCTTCAACTATAAATGGATGAATTAGGAATAAAGTCATCCAAAAAGGAGAGATTTGTCAGCTGTAAGACAGTCCAAAAAGGACAAGAGATTTTGTGAATAGTATCCTTCCTTATGGAGACTGTTTGACTAGGCCGTATCTGTTGTCAACTTTACCGTTTATCTAGGAAAAAGCTCACTTCCTTTGATGTTCATTGTTCTTGATTCATTAGATTATTATTGACCCATACAATCAATAAACTGCTTGCAAAGAACAGATTGTGGGGTCCCCCACTAAGCAGCTGGCACAGAAGTAGTAACCTCATTAGTGTGTAATCACTATGACTGGCCATTTTAGATTTCTCCCTCTCATATAGTCAGTCATTCAGTCGGTCAATAAGCATTTATTAAACCCCTACTACATGTCAAGCATTGTAGAAACACTAAGGATACAAAGAAAGACAAAAAGAGCTTGCTTTTGAGAGCACAGTCTAATGGTGGAAACAGCAATGTACAAAAGAACAAAATGTAGAGCTACAGACATACGTGCACGTGTGTGATAAATTGGAGAAAAGAAATAGAAGAAAGGCCCTAGCACTGAGGGGAATCAGTGAAGCCTCCTCTTAGATGAAATTTTTTCTGGGAGTTGATGGAAGCCAGGAGGCAGAATGAGGAGGGGCAATTTTCCAGACATGGAGAACAGCCAGTGAAAACATCCTCAGTCTGGAGATGGAGTATCTCTTGGGAATATACAACACACACTAAGGCCAAGATCAAGCATAAATGTTTCCATGGAAGCACTTTGTAAAATTATAAAATGCTACATAGAGCAAAGTGTCATCATTACTATCGTCAGTATTCACAGCAACATAGAGTTACAGCTTTAAAGGAATCATAGAGGCTATTTGTTCCATATTCCTCATTGTAAAAATGAGGAAACTAAGGCCCATAGAGGTTAAATAACTAATAAATAAATCAACAAACATTTATTAAATGTTTACTATGAATCAGACGTTCAGCTGAACACTTGGAATCTTCCCCTTCCCTCCTGCTCCCCCCCCCCAAAAAAAAGGTCCTTGCGTTCAAGAAGCTTACATTGTAATGGGAGAGACAACATATACTTAGTTCAGGGCATAATAGATAAATACAGAGGAGATGGAAGATAGCCTTAGATGGTAAAGCACTAGCATGTGGGAGAATGAGAAAAGCTACTGTAAGAGATGGCCTGACAGCTGAGTCTTAAAGGTAATAAGAGAGTTTACAAGGCTGAGGTTATGAGGGAGAGAATGCTAGGTGAGGCTAGTTTAGCAGGCGGAGTAAAGTTTTTAAAAAATTAGGAAATAAGGAAGGGTCCTGGTTGTAAAGAGTTTTAAACAGCAAACAAAGGATTTTATACTGGATCCAGGAGATCAGACAGAGCCAGTAGAATTTATTAAGTGACACAGACATAGAGAATATAGAGGAAAAAGAAAAAAAGGCCCAGGACAGCATGTTGAGATCGCCTCTGCTGGTGGGCATGACATAGACGAAGATATAGCCGAGTCACATAGATTAAGTAAACAGCAAAGAAGGGTATAAACTCGTGCCTTCTCTATGCCAAACTGCTGTATTACCATTATTGTGATTATCATTAGTGCAATCCACTTGCCATTTCACCCATAATATGCTACATCCCATCAGTGATACCAGCCAGGAATCCCTTCATTTATTTATTGAGTCACAAATGCAAAGCATTGTATTAGGGGCTTACAGAAATATATTGATATATAAAAGATGTTTTCTGCTTTCACAGAGGTTATCATATTGTAGGGAAATTGCCTTTTTGCTCATGTCTTTTAGTCCATTTCAGCACATACAGAAAAATCAAGTTCAAAATAGACTTCTGTCAATACCACAATTGTTAGTATATGGCAGGGGTGGGGAACTTTCGGCCTTGAGGCTGCACGTGGCCTCAAGGCTGAAGGTTCCCCACCCCTGGTACTTGACATTTGTGTGATATATGTTTGATTAATTAATTAAAGATCATTAATACCATTCCTAGTGCTATTCTTTAAATATATTAGGTGCTTAATAAGCTTAGGCTTATACAGTTACAGGATGAATGGAAAATAGCAAACATGGCACATAGGTTCTTTCACTCTTGCCATTTTACGTTTCAGGAAGATGAGGTAGACAGAGGTTAAGTGACTTGTCCAAAGTCACACAGTTAGTAAATGTCTGAGATTGGATTTGAAAAGAGGTCTTCCTAACTCCAGGCTCAGTGCTCTATCTATTGTACTACCTAACTGCCTCATAGATTATAGATTGAAAGATTCTTAGTGATCATTCAGTCCTATAGTTTCCAGATGAACAAATTAAGGAGCAGAGAAGCTAAATAACTTGCCCAAAGTGTCTAGTGATAGACCAGGGACAAATATTTGTTGTTAGGTGAATTATTCTTTATTTTTGCAGTTCTTTATCTCTCAAGCATTCAGGATGTACTCTGTTACTTTGTATTTGTTGGAATGTTGCTTTGTAATATAGCTAAATCCCAAATAATGCAAATAAAAAATCCCCTGAAGTGGTCACATGTATTTAGATTAAAATTATTTGAAGTTATAATTATGTAAAATCAGGTAACTTGTTCCAGCCCAATGGAAATACGCAATATGAATTTGAATAATGCATCTACTTCATGGGTCCCATTATTTGTACAAATTGGGACCTCTCTTAAATAACTATTATAACTCACATTTATATTGTGCTTTAAGGCTTCCAAAGAATACACACACACACACACACACACACACACACACGTTCATATGTAATACATATGATATAATCAAAAGAGATTATATATAATATACATATATAATTGCATTTGATCCTCATGATAGCATTATAATGTATGTACTGTATTAGTATCTCCATATTACAAATAAAGAGACTGAGGCTCAGAAAGATTGTGACAGCCACTGTCATGTGGCTGGTAAATGTGAGAAGCAAGATTTGAATCCAGATCTTTTTGACTCCAATTTGAATGCTATTTCTACTACCCCATGCAACCTCCACATAATAAAATATAGCACTGTAGTGAAATAAGCAGAAATATAGTAACATAGTGATGTAAAGTAATTGCCTCAGAGAGAGCCAAGAAAATGCCTCAGCCAGTAAACAGTAGGAAAAGCCTTGCCAAGTAGAGAGACATGGTAGCCAAAGGCAATCCTGGCTTGAAATCTAAACTTATTTGTAAAATATTATATTGGAAGATGGTGTAAAATTATGAGCAAAAGTGCCACATAAAAGAGCATTAAGTAGTAGAGAGAAAAAGCAAGCTAGAGAAAGATTGGCAAGAAACTCAATGAAGCTACCTGATCTGAACTTTGGAATTGATTGTGAAACCTGGCAAAGGACAGCCCAGAATGGCATGTCCACATCAAGAAGGCACTGTGTTCTATGAGCAAAGCAGAGTTGTAGTTGCTCAAGAGAGATGTGAGATGTGCAAATTTAGAGACATTTCCAAATGTTCATGTGAACTCTTTGTGCCCAACCTGTGGTAAGGCCTTCTGGAATTGCATTGGTCTAATCATCCACAGTTGGACACACTGTACCTTGACTCCGACATAGTGATGTCATTTTGGTCCTCGAAAACAAAGGACAAGAGCCAACCAAGGATGGAAGTGCAATAAAGGCAAAAATTCTGAAAGCTATAGAAATGCTTATAATAAACTTTTTTTTCTTAATCAATGATGATAAAGTCGCCATATTTGGACTATAAATTAACAGTTCCTAATACGCACATGAGCAAGTGAGAATGGCACTGAAGAAACAATGTTGACTTGTGACTTTGGATGAGTCACTGAACCATCTGCGGGCTTCACTTTCCTCATCTGTATGTTGAGAGGGCTGCACGAGATGTCTCCTGAGGTGCTATCTAGCTCTGTCTATGACCCTCCGTTCTTGGGATCTTATCAATTGCCGATCAAACCAAGGATACACTGAGGTATTCCATACTAGAGGTGCCACAACTGTGAGGGCAATGAGGGATCGGTTCTCAAAATAATGAACAAAAGGAGGTTTCGTTGTCCAAAAATAGTGATGGGCAAGAAAATATCAATAATTACTGGTTCACGTTCCTTCTTTTCCAACTTCTACAAAAGTGAAATTCTGTAAGTGAGCACGATGCATACGTTATGACTTCCGGATGATAGAGAAGAATTCTAGGAGCAAGGGATAGCAGCACAGACTTCTTAAAAGGTGTGACACTAGATTTGAGGCTTGTATGTAACCGTGGACTCTGTGAGCACTCAGTTCCCTCATCTGAAAAATCAGAGGATTGGTCTAGATAGCTTCGGAGTCCCCATCAGTTTCCAACTCTATGGTCTTATGACTGTAAGCTCCAGAAGAGACCGGTTCCTTAGTTTCCCTGTGCCTCAGTTTCTACATCTGCAAAATTAAGGGTGAGGAAGAGGAAGGAATAAGCCTTTACTTAGTACTTTGATGCTGTTGTTTAGTCATGCCTGACCCTTCATGACCCCATGGACTTGTTCATGGAGTTTTCTTGACAAAGATGTTGGAGCGGTTTGCTTTTTCTTTCTCCAGTGTGTTCCCATTTTACAGATGAGGAACTGAGGCGAAGAGGGATTAAGTGACTTGTCCAAGGTCACACAGCTAGTATGTATCTGAGGCTGAATTTGAACTCAGATCTTTTTGACTCTAGGCCCAACA